CTACACCAAATGAAGTAGTACTCTACATACCATATCACTGAGAATCAGTACTGGCTGGTCTTCCTATATTTTGGCTGGTCTTCTGCCCTGGAATAACTGGTAATTTGTTCAGTTMTGCTCCCTTCCTCACAGTTTCTCTAAATCACACCCATCACTTTTCCCCTCTTTGTCTCCTTCATGTTCCTCCTTTCACATTGCTTTCTATTTAGAATATTTTCTTTTAAGTAAACCTCACTTCATATGAAATAATGCATACATACATATAAACCAAGATGGAATTAATAGCATATTCGTTGCTTTACTACTTATGTCTGTCATACTTATTTCCTCTTCTTGTGTTTATCTTATTAGTTGAAAGCTATTGAGGACAGGACTACCTGCAATAATGTTTTTACAGTTCTGTGAGTACCATTTCTCAGCTGATCCCCAGCATTATATGTTGTGCTTATTTAGCTGTGTGCAATGATGTGTCCCATAATTAGTATAATTAATAATTCTGAACATGGACGAGTAACAACTTAGTCTCAAAAGTGCAAAGTGTGAAAAAGAGAAGATATTATTTTATATGTAATATTATATTCTACATTATAATGCTTAAAAATAAGCCAGTAGTGTTAGAAATACRGTAAAATTAATGAGTCAGGAAAAATAACCTTTTAGGCAGTCATAGTGGATTATGTATTTGGCAGAACACAAATTTACTAAAATATTAGACAAATATTTAGTAAAGTATATGATTATTAAATATACTGCATAGAAGCAAATCTTTTAAATTTTATTTCATGAAAAAGCAGCTAAACTATAATCAAATGCAATTCACACCAAGAATATTTACATAGTGTTGTGGTTGTTTCAGAGAAAGAAAAATCCAGTTAAATGCAATTTCTACCCAAGTATTTTATTCATACCAACATTTCTTCTAAGTGCAATGGAAAGTTATAATGTTTACAAGCCACTATAGTATATGACAGCATCACACATCACCTCAATGTCTTCATCCTTTGAATTCTCATATGAATGAGAAGCATCACATTTTATGTTTGCATTGCAGATACAAAATGAAAGAATTACTGACCTATCCAAGATTCCTGGATTCCTGAGTATTGTGCAGTGACACAAACCTAACTTTCCTGATTTTCTGATCAGGAAATCTCTCTATGTACTCTACAAATAACCTGCCATTTATATATACTTAAAAGTTTAAATAGCATCTACAGTATTATCTGTTCTTCTCTTTTATTGATGAATAATAGCCATTTATCTTTCATAACATGTACAAGATTTTTCGTGAGTGGTTCACTCCACTCAACACAAGACCCCCATGCAGGCATCTGAAATCATTGACTTTTCCTGATCTCATACCAGTTTTGCATATGGGAGTGATACATGCTGCAGAACTGGTAATCACCTAGCCAGTTGATGTTATCTGGTAGGATATATTATTTTTGATGGAATATTATGGTTTCTGTGAGTCTGTGAAGTTCCAAAACTGATTGGTAACATCTGCTTTTTATGAACTCAACAACAGCATATTACRTGCTGTGGATAGTTGTGCTTACATTTCTAAAATATTGATAACTTTTCACATGCCAGCAATTCTGAATCATCGAAGCAAGCATAAAACTAAAGRAGAAAAAAAGCTTACTGAGAAAAAGTACAGGAAAAATGTCTAATAGTGGATTAWCTTGAACTAATATCTCAAATTATATCACAGAGAGATACAACTTCTGCCACATTCTCGCTTCTTAAACTTACTCAATGCCGATCAATTTTGGCTTCTTGAATGACTGGTTTAGAAGTAATGACTGATTTAGAAGTAATACAAATAAAAGGCCTAGCAGCTTTTGTTTTTATTAAGGAAAAAATTGTACCCATGCCATTGCCCTTAAAAGTGAATCAACTTTTTTAAWAAAGAGAATACTATTTGTTTGGGTAAGCTGTGATTATAGATACAGAATCAAAGCCTCCAAGACTTCAGGTATAAGCATTACTGTGGAGATAAGCAACAAAACTATTAGGGCCTGTTGTTTGTCCAGCCTTCCTAGGTGGTGGGGCAGAAGCCAGGACCAAGACAAGTATGAGCAGGCTGGAAGTAGGAGGAGGAGGAGCAGCGTGCAGAAAAGAAGATCAAGGCATAAGCTAAGAAGAGAGTCCAGCAAGGAGGAAAGCCTGTCGGTGACTTGCCGGAGGTTGCACTGCACAGATAATGACTGTGTAGCCTGGAGGGTGTTATGTATTCGGCAGCTTCCACAGCAGGAGCTTTGATAACTATTTCCAGCAGCTATGCCTGTGAATTGTGTCTGCTGAATGGTGATGAATCCTCCCACAGCGATGTGTGCCAAATGTCAGCACTACTTGATCGCACTGCAGACATGTAACAGGTTACCTGGATTAGGAAGTCAAAGTCATCCAGATACAAAATTAGTCTCCTCATTACTTGAATGATGCTTTAGGTCCTGATATTTTCCAGTTGTAAATGATGATTCATTTTATGTTGTTTTATAAATAGGAATCTGGTAATTTGAGCTAGTATCACAAATTTTGACTTTCAAAACTTTTCTCCTCCCCTCTCTTGTCTCTTTTCCTTTCCTTTCCTTTCCTTTCCTTTCCTTTCCTTTCCTTTCCTTTCCTTTCCTTTCCTTTCCTTTCCTTTCCTTTCCTTTCCTTTCCTTTCC